ACCCTAAACCCTAAACCTTTCTTTTGCAAGAAGTCGCTGAGGACATCTCAGAAGGCTCCGAGGTGAGCAGTTCCTTTTCGCTGGCGGCCTTGCCGGTTCTTTGGCCTTTCGGGGGGGGGGGGGGTTAGGGACTCACAGGGCTGAGGTTTTATATCTGGGTTACAGGATTTTTAAGGTGTTTCTATGTAGAAAGTCATAGGGTTTTGGCGTTTCGGGGCTCTGGGTGTTTCCTGGTTTTGGGGTTTAGGATGTTTTTGGGTTAGGGTTTAAAGGTTTTGGGGCTCATAAGTTTAAGGATTCTTTTGTGTTGGATTATAGGGCTGAGGCATATTAGTAAAACCTTCCATAACAGGTAGTCAAGGGTAGGGCGGGTGTGGAATGTGGGTAGGCCCATACATGCCGTTCTCGATACCCACCAGATCGTTTTGTGAGCTACTGGCAATTTGATGATATCATTGTTACTGCTGGGCTCCGCTACGATGGCTGCGTTGCTACTAGGACTAGGACCATTATGAAGCATTTTCCCCTAATATTAAACGGGCGGCCCCTCCCAATAACAACTCGGAAAGCGTTTGTATTATTAGGGGCATGTGTTAAATTGTTTTACCTACTGCCACTTTTGAGTCGTCGTGCTCTTGTTCCTGCTCTTGCTGGAATTTTTCTCTGCTTCTGCCGCGTCTTGTGCTTGTGCTCCTTCTCTTGGTGTCGTCTCTTACTCCCGCTCTTGCTTTTGCCTTGCTTTTGCTATTGCTCTTGCTCTTACTGTGTTCTAAGCGTAATGGGAGCCTCGAAACCCTCCCCCTAATTCAGAATAGGTTGTAAACTGTCGTAAAGGGCAGAAATGATTTCGGGAGGATTCACCCCAATGTGTTTTCATTATTAGGGAGGTGTTTGGTAAGCGGGGAAGTGATTATTTACTACTTGTACTGCGGTTCTTAATGTTGCAAGAGCAAAGACATGCCGCACATGAATGATTTGCCAGACCCCCTGTAAAGCGTTACGACTCTCCACATCATTCATGGTTAGGCCAGAAACACAAAGCGTATGAACAGGCGCTCATGTAGGGTTTAGGGTGTAGGGCTTGTCTATAAAGACTCTATAGGATTTTAGATGCCATATGGAGTATGGAGGGTTTTATTTGTCGTGTGTTGCCTGATTCCAGACCCTCAAACCAAAACCGCGCCCTGAACACTATATCCCATATAAGCCCTCAGCCCCTAAAAGCACCCCTAAGCCCTATACCCCCCGGAAGCCCTCAACCCCTAAAAGCACCCTTAAACCCAAACCCCTAAAAGCCCTCAACCCCTAAAGGCACCCCTAAACCCTCCCCCTATAAGCCCTCAACCCTTAAAAGCACTCCTAAACCCAAACCTCATGTAAGCCCTCAACCCCTAAAAGCACCCATAAACCCTGTACCCCCCATAAGCTCTCAACCCCTAAAGGCACCCCTAAACCCAAACCTCATACAAGCCCTCAACCCCTAAAAGCACCCATAAACCCAAACCCCTATAAGCCCTGAACCCCTGGAAACCCTAAACCCTAAACCCTTGTCCGAGTTGTGAGAGTGTAAACCCTAAAACCCTAAACCCTAAGCCCTCAACCCCTAAAAGCACCCCTAAACCCAAACCTCACAAGCCCTCAACCCCTAAAGGCACCCCTATACCCCCTATAAGCCCTGAACCCCTGGAAACCCTAAACCCTAAACCCTAAACCCTAAAACCCTAAACCCTAAGCCCCCAACCCCCCACAGCACCCCTAAACCGCAGATCGGTCGTTGAACTCCGGAGCCGAGGTTCTGGATTCGAACCCGCCAGATGCCCCAAGCACCTTGTCAAGCATGAGCCCTTTGAGTGTTGATTTCGGTTTGTTAAGTTTGGAGGTTTTAAGTGTCTATTTTTGAGATTTGTGAAGTTTAGAGTTTAGGTGTCTATTGTTGAGGCTTGTTAAGTTTAGGGTTTAGGGTTTAGGGACTGTGGGCGCAGGGACTCAGGACCTTTGAGTGTCGATTGATGGCTTTAGGACGTCCCTTAAGGGTTGCAGGGTTCTGGTCGGGTTGGAGTCTTTAATAGGTGTTTAGATTCGGGGCATAAAGTTTTCCGGCATCCGTATGGCTGACGGACTTCCGAACGCGCACGAGGCAGAGAGGGTTATCTGCATGTGAAACGGAGGTGAAAGCTGAGAAGCCATCCTTAAGATTAAGCCATATACACCAGGCCCGTAACTAAAAAGGAGGTGACAATCTAGACACTCTATGATTTTGTAAGTACGGGACCTTGTCACAGTGTCCCCCTTATACTTCCGATTATAACCTTACCAGAACATACCCCAAAACCCTACTCTAATGATTAAGGCCCCTGGAATGTGTGCTACAAGGCCAGCGCTGTTCAAGTCATCTTTCGCGATACCCCTAACCCCCAAACCCTAAACCCTGAACCCTAAACCCAAACCCTGAACCCTAACCCTTCGTGCATTCGTCATGTGTGATGGCATCCACCGAGTTCAAAAGGCCAGACCTCGAATATCGGAGTTTCGAAACGGGCCCAGATCCGAGGCCGCCGTAGTTGCGATCGTGGAGAACCTGTTGTTTGGGGCCGGAATACCAGACGGGGTTACCATAGCCCTAAACCCTCAAACCCAAACCCTGCACCAGGCCGGAAGACGGGGTTACCATAGCCCTAAACCCTCAACCCCCAAACCCTAAACCAAGGACACTTATTGCCATGCCTGCATTTGCGAGTGTGTGTGAGTCGAAACCAAGGGGTACAGTGCCCGGCCCGAAACCTGTCATCGCCAGGGTTTGGAGATGTTCGGTATGTTCTACATCTTTCTCAGCCCGGATGAGTAGCCACCATCTTCGAAGTCTCGTAGTTCATGAAGAGGATCTTTTGCCCGGGGCACCCCCGGGTCTCTGCGTTCAGGGCTCTAGGATGCTAAGTTTTGGGGTTCAGGTAGCATAACTTTGGCCTAATGTAAGGGCCTGGATAATTTCCAATACTATCTTGGGGTTCCGTATTATGATTATAGTATGAGAGGCCCGAAAACCCTATTCTGATTATTAAGGCCCCTGCATTAAACCATCCTAAGCCATGGACCTGTCGCGAAGCTCCGGGTGTCGGGGCATCAGGCATGGGAGACCTATGTCCAGCAGGGAGCTCAGCGACGTTTCTGCCGTCTCCGCCTCGTACCACCACAGACCAAGTGAATCGTATTGCTGATTGCTCCGACTCCTATATTCCGATATTCCTGTCTTAATTGGTTTAGCCAGTCGTGTATTTAGGCTCCTGCAATGGAGACTATACCTGTAGTCTCCATTGTAGTTCCTTTTTGGAGGATACCGTATAGAATCCTTAATATATGATTGGTTAACCAGAAAAGGAATTACAATGGAGACTATAGGTACTGTTGATTGTTCCGACTCGTATATTCCCATCTTGATTGATTAAAGAACACCTTCCGCCGGAAGGCTGTAAAGGAAGCCTCAGAAGCGACGGTCTCGAAGGTCAACCCGCAGCAGCAGCCAGTAGAGTGGTGGCTCAAGATGGCCCAGGACCTTTCTTGCTCACATTCAGGGTGCTGTACTATTAATTTCCTTACAGTTGAAGGAGTATTCCTCGAATAACTCTTGACTTAGGAGTCCCGGTTTCGGGATTTGGGTCAAAAGCACCAGGAGAGTGTCGTGTCTTAAAGAAAGAAGTACGCTGTGGGACGCACATCTTCAGTCTTGCGGACTTCCGACGTGTCCCCAAGCTCAGAGACCGAAGATCAAAGCTACAAAGGACAAAATAAAGCATCAACTGAGTCCTTATATAGCCCAAGGACCAACAAGCAAGGAACCTCTCTTTTAAATCCCAAGATGTGCACGCAGGCACAGACTTACGCAACAGACTGAGTTTCCTCAGACTGTCTTGGCCTGTCTATTACCCTCCAGGGCGCGGACAATGTTTGTGAAGCCTGCTGTTTTTTTTTTGCGAGCAGGCTATTGCGGGTTCCATGTTGTTGAAAGAAGAGGGTATCCGTGTTTGAGGTTTAGGGTTGGACTAGTACCCCAGTAGCTCGGAGACGATTGTCGAGTCAAAGTCCAAGAATGTATCGTTACTACATGCCTGGATGCCCGGCAGTTCCCCACCGCGGCTTTTAAGCGCGATGGGACCCTTGAACAACCGAGTCCTGCTAGCCTGAGCAAGTGGCTCCAAAATTGACATGGTCGTAAGCCTCCTGGTCGAGTGTTTAAGTACCACTGTAGTTAGATCTCTAGAAACTATAGGGACCAACGCACCATAACGACCACAGGTATGTATCGCATTGCCCTGCTGACAAAACTTCGCTGCTGCAAGCAAGTACAAAATGCCCTAAGCTCCTTAAACCTTGAACCCCTTACAGATGCCTGAACCTGTAAAACCCACCCTATACAGAACCATACAATCCTTATACAAACTTGAAACTCATTACTAACCTCCAAGCACTGGAGTACCAGATTCTGGAGCCCTGGAAAATCCGCAAAGCTCAGGTGCTCTTCTTTGGGGTGCTTATGCATGTTCGGGTTTTGGTGAGGGTTTGAGGGTTTTGGGTGTGCTACTGCGATATTGCCGACTGCTCGCTCGAGAGCCCTGGACCATGCCAGCAACGGGATAGGGGTTTAAAAAAAATTAAATCAGGATCAAA